GGAATGGGGGGGGGGAGGGGGGAGGGGGGCCCAAGGAGAAATGGATGAGCATGAGGTGACTTGAACGCCTCTTCCTGCCATGACTCTTTTCTTATTATTGGTCGTTATTACCCAGGATCCTTTCGTCATGATGGCCTTGAACGGGTACCTCTATGGACGCGGGGTCACGGACAACAAAGGGCCCATCATGGCGATGATCTTCGCGCTGAAGGAGATGAAGGAGCAGGGAATCTTAAAAGGTAGGTCGCGGCCGGCAAGGAGGGAGAAGGGGCGTCGACAATAATATGCTCTTGATTATGGTCAGGACGATGAGAGGGGCAGGTCTGGCGGTTTGTGGGCAATGTGTGGACCGCTTTTTGATCGTGTCCTTGCGCCGAGCATTTGCCGAGGCGGTGGATCTGCTTGTGACGGGCATCTGCCGACAAGTCTCTGGGGCCCATCCCTTGTCCACACCACCCACGACTGGCATCGCATTTTTGTTGTCTCTTCCATTACCAGATATGAATGCAGTTCTTTTGCTGGAGGGGGAAGAAGAGACGTCTTCGGAGGGGTTTCGTGAAGCGGTCCTACAAAATTTGCATTGGTTTAGGGGCACGGGCCTTATCTTGCAAGCAAATAGTACCTGGGTAGGAAGAGGGGGGAAACGGGAGGAGGGAGGGGTTGCACGAATCCCTTTGCTTTATTTTGGCCCACCTTACAAAGGACGGGAGGAAAGTGAAGGGGAAAGAGGGGTGATAAGGGGCAGGGTATGGCACGCCTGATGCAATATCGCAATGACATGTACCAACAGATCGCGGACGATCGTCCTTGCCTGACGTATGGGATGCGAGGCACAATCCATCTGGAGGTGCGAGTGCACGGACCTAAAAGGTAAAGGGGGGAGGAGGGAGAGGGCACGGAGGAAAGTGAAAAATGGAGGGAGAAGAGAAAAAAAAAGAGGAGAATAATCGATAGATAGGAAGGGTCCAAAATGCTAACATGTGATAAACGGGTTTCACTTTCATCTCTGCAGGAACTTGCACAGTGGCATCGATGGCGGGGCAGTTGTGGAGCCTTTAAACGATTTAGGTAGGCGATTTGAACCACGGCCAATCTTGTCTTTCCTTCATTCTAGTCCCCCCGATTTTCTTTCTCTCATGGCACGTCACGTTTTCCTGCTACACCAACCTTTTTTGGTGTATTTCTCGGTATATGAAGAGTATTCTCATCCCTTTCTGGATTATTTTTGGTGTCCTCTCTATGCTGGCATTTTGTGGAAATTATTGTGCACTCATGTTCTCGACGAACCAATCCTAGTGGGTATTCTAGCGACATTGGTGGACGCGCGCGGAATGGTCCTGGTGCCAGATTTTTATGCCGAAGTGGAGGTAGGTTTCAGGGAGAGAGTATTTGGAAGTCTGTTTGAGCGTCGGCTGATGACGACATGGTTGGAACGCTAAAGAGATGCGGAAAGGATTGAACCTTATTCCTCTCATGGCTGTGTTGTCGTAAAATACATCTTGGGGTCTTTGGGCTTCCTCTTTTGCGCTCGACAGGAGGTGTCGCAAGAAGAACTCGAGCTCTTCGACGCGATGAATTTGAACATTGACGCATATAAAGCCTCCTTGGGTAAGCAAGCAAGAGGGAGGAAAGGGATGAGGGGAGTCAAGAGGGGTGGGAAGGCTCCGCTAGAGGAGTTTTGCTGTCAGTCGGTAGGAGGCCAAGGGCATTGACGGAGGGACGAAGCATTTCACAAGGAAGGCTGTTTTATTCAGGGCAATCAATCATCTTCCCCCCTCTTCTCTCTCCCTCAATTTCGTTCCAGGCGTCAAGGGGCTAACCTGCAATTCGGGCAGGGAGGTCCTCGCCGGGCGATGGCGGCAGCCCACCCTCAGCATCAACCAAGTGGCCTCCTCCAATCCCACAGACTCCTACTCCATCCTCCCTAAGGCAGCCATGGCCAAAATCAGTGTGAGGACCGTGCCCCGCCAAAATCCTTCCCGACTAGTGGACCTCATCCGGGCGCATTTAAAGCACGAGTTTGGGAAACGTCGGAGCCCCAACGACCTTTTCGTGGAGGTGAAGAAAATTGGGGACTGGTGGTACGGCGACCGAGGGGCGCATGCGTTCGAAATGGCGGAGAAGGCAATTGAGGAAGTCTGGCATCAGCCTCCCCTTTACGTCAGAGAGGGCGGCACCATGCCCATTACAGCCTTCTTGGAGGACCTGTTGAAAGCGCCGGCATTGCACCTGCCTTTGGGTCAATCCACAGACAATGCACACCTGCCTAATGAGCGGATCCGCTATTTGAATTTGACAAACGGGAAGGAGATCATCAAGAGCATTCTGCGGCAGGTCGGGGAGTCCGGCCGAGCGCGAGTGGGAAATGGAGGGTCCTCGGTCCTCAAGGAAGGTCAAGTTCAAGGGAACGGGCATGGAGAAGCGCATAGCTCCCTCCACACGGAGAAAATGGGAGAGGAGCCGATGGCCTTGCCCGTCCCACAGGCCCGTCGGGCGGTCTCTGTTCCCCTTTCTCTCCTTCCTGCTTCCGCCTCGGGTACTCACGCGCATCTGACCCCTCTGCAAAC